GGACGAGACCTTCAGATTTCTCCTCTTGCCAAAGGCTCCTATGGGGTTCATCACAGCACTGATACTGATCCTATCTTCATTTGAAACTGTAAGGTTTTGTTCATCGTAGATTTTCTGCATTAATTTCAGATCAAGAACCATCGCATTGAACTATTATTTATGTTGATTACTGAGGGTTTTTTTGGCACCCCCTTCAATTTTGTGCCTTGCTCACCTCGCCCTAGCCCTGGGCTTCCTCCTCCAGATGTGAACATCGAGGTTCAGAGGTGGTGAGTGGCTCAGGCAGAAGAGAGGGCCTCACACGTGCTGGCCGTGCAGGCACAATGCCGCAGGCACCGGGCTGAGTGTGTGGCATATCAGTGGATAAGGTCCCTGTCCTCACAGAGTTTGTATCTGGTAACAGGGGAAACACTTTCCAATCAAGTAACCCGCAGCTGATTATTTAATTACAATCGGGACAAGTACTTTGAAGGAGACACGTAGGAGCTCAAGAATCTACAGGATGGAGGCTTGATGGGCTCTGGAGGGTCCTGGAAGTACTCTCCGAGCAAGGAAAGTTGGAGCTGAAACCTTCAAGATGAGGAACGTGAGCCAAGTAGAGAAGGAAGAAGAGAAACCAGCATGTGTAGAGATCCTGGGGTAGAAAGAAGCTGGCATGTGTGGGACACTGAGAGGAAGTGTGCAAGTCAGTTCGGGCTGATTCTGTAACAAACAGCCCCTAAGTCCAAATGGCTACACATATTAAAAATGCGTTTCTCAGGGCGCCCGGCTGGCTCAGTTGGCTAAGCGTCTGACTCCGGATTGCGGCTCAGGTCATGATCTCATGGTTCGTGGGTTCGAGCCCCGTGTTGGACTCGGTGCTGACAGCGCTGAGCCTGCTTGGGATTCTCTGTCTCCCTCTCTCTCTGCCCCTCCCCTACTCGTGTGCATGCCCCGTCTCTTTCTCTCTCTAAGTAAATAAACTTAAAGAAACCGTATTTCTCATTTGCCTCACAGTTTAACATGGGTCACTCATCTCCAAGTGGCGGGTTGGGGATCCGGGTCTTTCCACCTTCAATACTGCAGAAACCCAAAGAATAGAGGGTTGTGTCTGGATGTGGCGTGTATCACTTCTGCCCATTTCCACGGGCCCGGTGCTCCATCCAGGGCCCCACCCCATCGGCCTGGGAGAAGTATCGGGCTAGCTGCTCAGCGAGAAGACGAGGAAAACAGAAGTCGTGACCCTCAGCAGCCTCTGCCACAGGGAAGGGGGCCAGGCCGGGCAAGTATTTGGCGGTCATGGTCGAGACTGGCATCTGTAGTCTTAGAGCAGAAGACCCAGCTTGCCCTTGATCACGGATCCAGAAATGCATTTTTTAAAATGTTTATTTATTTATTTTTTTGAGGGGGTGGAGAGGCAGAGAGAGAGAGAGAGAGAGGGAGAGAGAGAATCCCCAGCA